CATTTTTATCGAGAAATTTTGAAAATGGCGCTTTTTTCCATATGACGACTTTTTGAAATACGGCGTTATATGGGGAGTGATTGAAAAATTGGACCGATCTAAATCATTTTCAATAAAGTTCGTCGTTGAGTCAAAACACGTTAGTGTACCAAATTTCAACAAGATATCTCAAAAATTGTGATCAGTGGCTTGAAAACAAATTTACATGGACAGACATCCTATGGGCAGACAGAGACACAACAGACGGAGACATTGACTTAGAGTCGTTTTCTGAATCGATCGGAATAATGAAAGATGGCCCTATCTTAAGCGCTTCTGCATGTTACATACATATCCGCACACACATGCGCACATCTATGTACAGATAGATGTGCATGTGTAAACACACCGTTGTTAGACGTATTTCTCCGTACAGTCAGTGCTAAAGTGCAGTCAGTATTAAAGTGTAAAACTCATATAATCATTTGCCCATATATATATATATATATATGCATGTATATACATCATGTTTTTATATCATGTTTTTCTTTTTTTATAGCCATAACCTAGGGATGAGGTGTATATGCATTTGTCAAAACATTTGCAACGCTTAGCAGGACGCATCAGAGACTCCACAAAGCATGTATATACTTGATCAGTATCACATTCTAAATCGATTTAAGCATGTCCGTTTATAAATTTAATGAAATTGAAATTATTCTATCAATTCTTTATTCACTTTTATCAATATTTAATGTTATATTCATAAATATAAAACACCCATTAGCAATAGGATCAATTTTATTAATTCAAACAACATTAATTTGCTTAACAACAGGAATACTTTCAAAAACATTTGGATTTTCTCATATCTTATTTTTAGTATTCTTAGGGGGAATACTCGTATTATTTATTTATGTTACTTCATTAGCATCTAATGAAATATTTTCATTTTCAATAAAATTATCATTTCTATTATTGACGCTACAGCATTCGCGCACAAAAATCGAATAAATTGACAACGCTTACCAAATATTACATTGTTACAAACCATAATTGGCTTTTCAATGTCTTTATAAGGCGAAGAAACAAGCTCCAAAACTCCCATAAAGTATACAAATTCTTGGCCGAGTTCAATTTTGGAATAATAAAATTTTTATTCTCAGAATAGAAGCGATCAGCTGCGCCCACTCCATATAAAACATAAGAATTTTGTTCTTTTACTTCTTTTGTCTGTTTTAGAATAACGATCATGGGTACAAAAGACTCGGTCCCGATCGAATTTAAATTTTCTTAGTTGTTTTTATTGTATATTAGATATATTTAATTTTCTAGAATATAGGGAGACAAATTATTTGTGTGAAAAGGAATGCCTATGTTCCGTTAGCAGCTGCTGCGAAGTTAGAGTCTGCTGTGTTACTTCTCGATTTTTAACTTTTCTAATATATAAATAGATGTTTTCAAAAAGGTTTTATTGTCATTTAAGAGCGTATTGCAAGGAGAAAAAAAATTGCTCCGATGATAGTTAAATGAGTGAAGCGAAATGAGATTTTAAATTGCCATGAAATTAAAATTTTGAGATAAGATTTTCTGTTAATTGCAAATTTGGTTACATGGTCATAAAATGCTCGATTCTGCTTTCTTCCCGAATGCAGTAAAAGCACTATCTTGTAGCGAAAAAGTTCTTTTTTTATTGTAATAAAAAACGTGTCTGTAACACATGTCGAAAATTTATACATGTTTTCTCGAAACAATAATTTTCAAAGTAGCATCTAATTTTAACAATTGCCATTCGTTTCATTGGAGTTTTTTACAATATTTTTAATATAGCATTTTAAAAAACCGTTCGTACTAGTTTTGCAATGAGTCAATTTAAACGTCATTTGCCAACACTTGCCAATCACACAGACGTTTAGCGTAAGCGATCACAATTTTTTATTGTTTAACTGAAATGTGCACCAGTTGCGCTGTATTCCGCAGCTTTTAATACTTAAACGTATTCTCAATAACTTCCACTAATATTACTTTTCTTTAAACGTTCCTTTCTATTTAAAGAGGTTGTCACAGAAAGGCCTTCTTTGAAGCAGTGGCATATCACTTTAATTGACTGTTTTTCGAATGTGCTTCCATCTGGGTCAATAATCGAGTTTTGAAGAGTTACCACGAAAAATAAAGAAGTTAGAAAGTTATATTCGGCTGGGTCCAAATATCGCGTAGTCACAACCACTAACATTTTTGGTACCATGTGGTGCCGTTTATTGCCACAAAAAAATAAATGGAATAAAATTTATCTTTCACTTTTTAGTCCACTAAAAGTTATTGATAGAATTAGCATACTTAGTTTTTCGCATTCTATTCTCAAAGCCTTTTAATTTGATACCTATATGCGCGGCACTTTAAAGACAAAATTTACCTACCATGTCGTGATTTTTAATTAATTGTTATGTATTTTTAATTAATTGTTATGGACAATGAATTAAAAATTAACGCACTTAGCTTGTCGCATTGTACCCACCAAGTCCTTTTGCGTAATAGCCATATCTGTCTACTTACCTTATGATTAATAAGCACAAAACCCCGAAAAAATTCACAAAAAAACGTAATCACTTATAACTTTGTGCGAGCATGGAATTTTTACACTTAAATAGTATAATTTCTAAAGATAAATGTGGAAAATTTCAGCCTTCTATCTTCTATAATTTCCTTACAGTTTTTTGAGATTTAATGTAAAATTGAATTAGCGCGAAGTTACTTAAAGTTAAGTTAAATTATTAAAATCAGTTTGATAGAAATATGAATAACGCTCCAAATTGAAGGGCGAGAATAGTTTGATGTTAACTGTGTATATTAGGTTATGAGAAGATTTAATTATCGGTGACAGACCATTAATGCATAGGACAATTTGAATAGGGCCTGAGTGATTCCTGTAACATTTGTTATTTTTGCAACCTTGTAGTGTTAATGCAAAATTTTTTTTTTAGTTTTCTAATTGGTTAAGAGAGATTCGCGCTTGTTTCGATCGGTTACGTTTCTTATAAGAAAGAAAAACGACATTAAGAATTATTTTCAAAAACTTGAAATTCTAATAAAATTCTATTCTTTGAATAGGAGATAATATGAAAAAAAAATCATATGAATATCTCTAATGTTCGTAATATAAACATAAAATATTTTGGAGGTCTAATAAAATATTCGGTCGGCGTGGGCATTTTATTCCATTTTCGTGCATAGATGCTATGGGAGTGTTCTTCAAGTGATTTGGTCTATTTTCAATTACAATCTGCGCGAAAGAACTTCCAATGTTTCTGTCCCATTTGAAGTCGATAGCTTCAGTTTTGCGGCCAGGAGAATGTTTACAACGGACATTACACAGACGGTCAGATGGGCAGACGGACTTGCTTAAATCGATTTATAATCAAAAATATATATACGTTGTTGGGTTTCTTCTTGCAAACGTTTTGACGAAATGAATGTACCCCTCATCCTTCGGTAATCTCTATAATAATTAGCAAACGGCATTCAACGTAATTTAGTGTTTGCGCTTTCTGTTTTTGCTCAAATGCAAACGAAGTATATTGATAGGCGTGCCACTAGGTTTTCTTTTCTTTTCTTTAGTTTTTTTTATTTTTGTGGATGCACGCCGTACTATGCATACAATACAATTAACGTCTTTTTCATCCTTTTAATGAAGTTTAATCAGGTTTAATATGGTTTTGATACCGCAAGGCTGCCAATTTTTGAAATGTTTAATAATGTTTAATCAAGTTTAATCAAGTTTAAGAATGTTTAATAATGTTTAATCAAGTTTAATCAAGTTAAATCAAGTTTAATGAATTCTGCTATTTTTTCAAAGTGTTTACAAGTGTTTAAGAGTGTTTAAGACTGTTTAAGAAATATACAAAACAATGGCCTTTACTGAAAGGAGATTATTATTCGGCTGAAAGCGTACAATAACCGGCACAATCTAAACTAAATTCTTCAACGCAATAGCATGCATGTAGAAAAGAGCAAGTCAAAAATGGCAAGAAGGGAAAATGACGAAAAGTGACTAGAAAAGGTAGTGCTGTTACAGAGAACAACGACGTCAATCCAGAAGAGCACGAGTGCGGTCAATAAAGTAAAGCAACTACAATATTAATGCCAATTAATCATGATGGTGTAAGCAAGCTTCATAAAAAGAAAACATCAGAATATACAGCAGACAATGAGGAAAGCACCAATATGATGTTTGCATAACCCTGCTCAAAACCACATTAAATTTGATTAAACCAAAACTGACAGTTGGTATGATGGAGCAACATTACAACAAGATTCTAAACGTGTCTGGTCGGCTTCGACAGAAAATTTCTGCAAATTAAACAACGACAGTAATAAAATTTCAAAATGCAATTATGAGCGCTTTAGTTAACTATTAAAAAAATTTGAAAATGTTAAATATTGAATTTATTCATCCGTATTACGATATCAATAGTTAGAAGTTCTGCAATTAAGTGAATTAATTTACAGGGGTAATAATATGGAATCTTTGCAATTACGATTGTTGACCAATTTTCAGCATCAAATATTAAAAATTTTTTACTTTTCATAAAAATCCCTTGGGTCGACTAAGATAAATAGACCCACATGATGGAAATGTCGTGTTGCTGAATTTTTTTGCGGTAAGCTGCTTAATTTCAGCATAATTTTTATTAAAAGTTAATTTATATGTTAAGTGATACATATTTGTGTGGATGTCGAACTTAGGTAGTGTGTTGAGCATCGTGCTTACATACATCAAATTCAGTATGTGAGCTATATATATATCAACATAGGGAATTTGGACCGGATAGCCTACTTTGTAGTCTACTTTGTGGCTTTTTATGTTCGACAAGTAAATTATATTTCTTAAATTAGACCAATGAAAAATTTGTAAAAGTATTTATTTTTTAATTTTGTTGCTGTTGTTTTCAAATCACGAGTACAGCTGTTTAAGGTTATTCGTAAATTGTTTCTAAAATAGAAAAGTTCAATACAAGATTTTTTAATTAAAAAAACAGTTGTTTAAGATTATTCGTATATTGTTTCTAAAATCTTTGCTTATGAGCAAAATTATTAGTATAGAAGATTAGAAAGAGAAATCAACTGATTTGATAAAGGCAGTCAGCTGGTTAAGAGGCATAAAGTTTCTAGCATGAAAAATAAATGTACTGAAAAATTGTCTAAGGATGTCAAACCTCCTGCACCCAAAATTGTATGTTCGGCAGACTCAGTAATGTTACATCCTTCGCAATTATCAGCGGAAGAGACTTTAATCGTTTTGAAGTATACCTCGTCATAAGTGTGATTACTTATAACTCTATCAAGTATTTTAAATTCCCATGTTGCAAATTTTCCGGTAAATTTTTTCTCTTGCTAAAAGATGATACTCGTCTTTCTATTCTTTTCAGGAGTGAAAAATAAATTTAAGTCCATCGTGCCAGCAGACAGAATAAATTTTAATTTACATACAAACCTAACAAAATTGGAAACCAGGCGTACAGAATATTTAATGTGTACATGTTTGGTAATCATCACATGGATTCAACGGAACGCATGTTAAACACGCCAAATAATGCGCAATAGGTGGTTTAGAGTATAAAAAGGAACATAAGACGCAAATGCTTGTTTGGCATATTCATATTTAATAGAGCATCAAACGATAACTATTGAGTTTAATCAAACAAGTTTTTCCACAACCAAGCCTTGCAGCATCTACTATCATAAATTATATAGTAATAATGGAAAGGTGAACCTGGCTGTGAAAAACTACATCATATATACAAAATCCTTTGTTGGGAGAAACAACAAGTTTCCGGACTACCTAATATAAAGCGCCCAATCTGGGAAGTAACTTGCAAACAAGTAAGACAGTTATATTAGGCAGGGACCGAACCTCGCATATCCACCGCTATCCTTTTTGCGTTCTGCTCCCCAAGTTCTCTTATTCGATACCCACATCGCTGGTATTATAAAAAAAAAATTAATCCCCCAGGTTGCGATGTCCATTTTGTTCATTTTAGAATTAATCCAATTTTAGGCAGATAATACATCTTCTTTTGACGAATGTACAAAGTAGTTTCTGTCCTGTCCTGTTTGCGTTATGATAAATAACCATAAACCCTCAAAAAATAAAAAAAATAAAATTTGCAACTTTGCATGGCTGATTTTTTCCAGTTTTGTAGGTATAAAGTAGGCTGTTGCGTAAAATAAATGTGGAAAATTTTAGCTTTCTAACTTTTTGCAGGAAACTAGAAAAAACCCACAAATATTTACTAAGAAAAATAAAGTCGCACTGCGGTCTTCTGCTTTGACCAATTTGGCCTATTTTCAATAGTAACTTGCGTGCAATAACTTTCAATGTTTCTACCACATTTGGAGTCGATGTCTTCATTTTTGCGACCATGAGACTGCCAATGACAAACACCACACTGACACATACACAGACAAACATGGCTAAATCAGCTTAGAAGTCTAATGTGCAGGACTCTAATCCGACCTCTTGTCTCTGTTGCCTTGGGATTACTTAGGTATTGGGTGGAAAGAGAAGGACAGGAAAAAGGCCATTGAGTTGAGATTTATCTTAATTTGTCAGCATCTAATTAAAAGAACAGAGTTTTTGCAACATTCATGATGCTCTTCAACTAAAGCAACATAGCTTCTACGAGTAGGATAATGCAGCTTATTGCTACAAAACATTCGTGAGGCTTTTCGATGAAAGAGGATTAGGTGAAGTTTGTGCTTGCACTCATATAAGAAATAAACACACTAAGTTGCATAGAAACCAAAAAAGTTGTATTCATATAAGAAATGAACACTTGGGATAGGACACGAAACGTAATTGACGCATTACATTGCGTTACGAATTTATTAACAGAACACTCTTTCAAATAAACATCTCTTAATCGATTGCCTTACTATCGATAAAGCTTATCTACTTTTTTACCACTATTGAAACGTGTTTATTAGAAATAATTATCAAAAGAGATGGTATTCCGACATTTATCTAATAGTTTGATGACGATCGCCGGTTTCTTTGCTTACTATGGAAAATAGGCAGAATAACAGTGGTATTAAGTAAAAAAAAACCATTAGAGACGTGCATCAAAAAATTGACTGGAATATCTGTTTTGATGATCAAATTATATGGAATTGCAAGTTTATTGTCGTCTTTCTGAACGTTCAGTGTTTATTATATATATCTAGCTTAAAAGCAGACCAAGGTGATAGTCTAAAAAAAAAAAAACTGAAAACCAAAACTAACAAAGAAGAATAAATCCTACTCCAAAAAACTAAAATCCTACACCAAAAAATCCTACACCACAAAACTGAAAACCTACACCAAGAAATTCTATACCAAAAAATCCTACACCAAGAAACCCCACACCAAAAAACTAACAAAGAAGACGAAATCCTACACCAAAAAACTAAAAACCTACATAAAAAATCCTACACCACAAAACTGAAAACCTACACCAAGAAATTCTACACCAAAATATCCTACACCAAGAAACCCCACACCAAAAAACTAACAAAGAAGAAGAAATCCTACACCAAAAAACTGAGAACAAATCCTCAAGATTTTTTATACTCTGGAAATAATTGCGGAATTACCAGCACAAGACGAATGCACTGACATATAGGTTCTTAAGCCCATTTTCAGTACACATCTGTGGCATTTTCTGTGTAGGAGCATGTCCTCAAGGTTTCATGCTCATTGCGAGATAGACGGACTGACAAGTAGGAACTTCTCAATTTCGAGGCGGATGTGCAATCATGAAGTCAGTGATGACCATCTCAAATGAAATAACAGAATTAGTACGATCTCATTCTTTGATAATGGATATAAGAAATAAAAATATAAAGACATCAAAAAGTTTTCCTCACATTTATTCATAGTAAAATACTAGAAGTTAAGGAAGCCTCCTGTTGGTTTTCTTTTTGGCAATTTCCACTATAAAATGTATGCTCACTTACACTACTTTCTTTTGTGGCTTAGGAATACGTTGAAAACAGCTGTGAACTAATCAGTCACTTACCTAGCATTTGTTCTATAAAGAAACGTGAAAATGAACTTCTCTATGCTAGAGTTAACTTAAGTGCCCGTCTATCCTTCATAAAATTTTATGATCATCAAAAACAAACTAAAGTACCGCGAAAGAGAAAAGCTAAAATTAAAAAAATTAATTTAATGTATTGTTTGCAGTCGCAACCATTGACAATTTATGATTTCCGTTAAATTTTAAATTAAAAAAAAGTTTGCAGAATATCGGTTATATACGAATTTCATCATTGCTTTCGTAACGTTTAATAATTCATTTTCGAAATCAATTTATGACTCCGTCCTTTCTGCTTCGCATTTTCAAAGCTTAAGGCTTAAGACTAACATAAGCATGGATGGCTTAAGCAAAACTTTATTACCAGATCATGATAAAATATTTAATTATGGACATGATCCTAGCTAAGATATGCTACTCATTGTATCGACACTCGTACGCCTCGCTTTCAGTCGCTCAAAAAGTCTTCAACTATTGTTGGGTACTCAAGATTCATTGTAAACTGGGCAGATAGATTTCTCGCATATTTTATTCTAAGGTAAGTCAAAAGAAAAGTCTGCCAAAAAGGCCCTCTAAAAAAACGGAAATATTCAAGAAAATTTTTTGTTTTCTTTAGACTTCTTCTGAACAAGATTTAAATCTTGACTAATTTTTGTTGTTGTTCTTTTATTTAATGTAATCAGATGTGGAGATTGTGATGTGAAATTATTAAGTATGCGCAAACAGAGGAAGAAGTTACGGTTAATAATAAAGAGGCAGATCAAATTTGAAAATCTTACAAATACGATCCATGCAAGAGCTTCTTGTTCTAGGAATGTGAATAAGTTTTCTCTTTTTTTTACTGAAATTGAACGCCCATGAAATGAAAATAGCACGACATTTTCTACTCCAAGTATTGTTCGTCGTTAGCTACTAATTTTGCCAAGTACCAAACAGTATATGGATTCGCTGTACATTCTGAGGTTATGCTTCAAAGGGCCGACTTTTCGACAGATTTCAATTCATTGCCATAAATATTAATTATTAATATAATTATTAATCACAAAGCAATTGTTGCTAACATTTCGCGGACGGAAGGACAAAATGTTGTCAAACTGAAAAATCTCCATATAGTGTATACTTGCATATGTCAATATACGCATTTTTTTTTTTTTCTATATGACCAGCCACCCAGGGTATGTGCCGTTTACATGCAGGCACGATGGTGATCAATTTTGCGCTATTTCGCCGTTAATGATCGGACCAATTGCATCATATCTTCTGCTTCCCAAATTACTTTGAGAAATTAAAAGCGTATTAGAAACTCGACGACATCAACTCATAAGTACGCACCAGAAACGTAGCGTTGTTTTTCTGATGAATCATTCGAAAGATGTCCCTGATAGGTGTGAGACAGCATTCATCAAAAAGAAGTGATGAAAGCGTAAAAGTTATGGAACGGCCGCAGATTTGACTTTATCGTAACGATTCTTACCTACTCAGCTACTTCGGTGGATTTCGTAGGCGTGTTCGTAAGTTAATATTTAATTTTTGAAAGCTTTATAGTGTGAACAAATAAGATACTATCCTTCATTTTTGAAAACATTTTAAACATCTTGCCAGAATTAATATATTTTCACTCTCTCATCTAGCTGATATTATAAACTTGAATATATGTCTTGTTCACCTGTTTTTAAACAGGGAGGGCCCAGGCAGATCACCTCATTCGCCTTATAGGGAAACCGCAACTGATTACAAATCTACAAATACCATACAACCACACATGCATAGATATATAGACTTACCAATAGGATCTTATTTGCAGTTGGAACTAATGAGTTATGTATGCAAACATTTGACCAGAACAATAGTAAACAATTAGATGTGTTCTGCATTCTACAACAAAAGTAAGTGCCGTACACATGTATTGCATAAACATTTGCGCATAAATTTATATGCACATTTATATTAGTTTGGGGAAAAAGAAATCCATTATTTTTATATGAACTTC